TTCTATTCATGTAGTTCAGCAGTTTCAAACAGGTGCCACATTTTTAAAACGTGCCTTCAAAGTAGAGCTACTTTCGCGTTTGGCTCAAAACTCGATTTAACGGGTAGAAAATCTTCTTTTAACCGTTGAAGGAACAACTTTGAATTATAATTGCAACATGGGTAAACAACCTGCTATGATATATCTATAGTTGAAAAAAAGAATTGGGACTTTTGAGCGAATATTATTTTTTAGAGCGCCGGCAATGTGTGTTTCTTTTCCAGTTTCGGAAGACATGCAACTTGTGTCGAGCGGACCGAACTTCAATCAATCCTGGAAAACGTCAATAAGAATTTTTAATGAAATAAAACTCATTGTAGTGATGACTAGGTAAGGGCTTCGAAATCCCAGCTTATAAGAAAATCGAATTTTCGAAGTAAAATCAGTGGTCGGTTTTTACAGAGACAGCCTCTTAAGTCGTAACATTTTCAACGCTGATTAACACGCACTCTTGGACTTGATGGGAATTTTCCGCATCTATTACCTTGCAAGCAGTGCCAATACCCCTCTGGGATAAGTTAGGGAAGATAGGCCTCCTGATTAACGGAACAATCATTTTCAGATTTTTCGGTCATATTATATTCGTGGTTCGCTTCATGTGTGCAAGGTGGCAGTTGTTTGAAGAAAGGAACTCAATTTCCTACTTACCCTGGCGAATGGTAGTGAAAAACAAAAGGAATCCTTTTCTTTGTGAATCGTAGTCTGAGTGGAACAACAGCACAGCATATTTTCCAGTTACAAGGACAGACTCCCCGGTTCTTTTACCGCAGTAGTGACCAAGATCGTCGCTGTTCTCATTAGTAATCTTCAAATAATCATAACTGCAAAGAAATTAAACTTACTTGAATGTAAATAAATGAGAGCCAATTTGATCAAGCAGTTATTTTATTTAACTAAAGACTAGCAACAGTTCCAGCTAAGTCATGCATTGTTTTTCTATTTTGCTCCTGACTTAAACAGTTATATGCACTAAGACACAGTTGATGTATTAATCAATTCCCACATTGGTTCATAAGTAATAACCTTACAAAGGATTTTAGTTATTTCGTGCTAAGGCAACCAGAGATGTGCACCGTAAATTTGGGAAACAGGAATCTTGTCTACAGGAATCTTCTTCTATGAAAAGGTTAAAACTATCACAAGGAACAAAAACGTCTTCTATAGTATTTTGAAAATGTTACGAATTAAGTCCAGATGCATATATTTAAGAGGAGGATTAAACTGAAAGACCGTCGCTGAGCATCAAACTGTTTAAAATAATTTGTATTGAATATCCGATACAACCGTGAGGAAAAATGTAAATTGCATACAGCTGAAAGTGCGAGAAGTGATAGATCAAACAAGAGAGACAGTGCTTCATCGGGTATCCAAACACCGAGAAGAGAATTGAAAATACGACGTACAGCGGGGGTATTTTTGACGAATTTCGAGGTGTTTGGATAGCCGATGAAACACTGTCTCGAGTGTTTGATCTATTACTTCTCGCACCTTCAACTGAATGCGATTTACATCTTTCTTCACGGTTGTATCGGATATTCAGAACAAATTTAAATAGTTTGAAAGAGTTATATCTTCTCAATCCAAAAAAACTAAGGAATAAACGGAGAAGTAAATTCTCGTCAAATCTATGTTAATTAAGACCGGGTATCCAAACCTCATTCCTGGTTGTGATTTTCTTTGTTTTAACTTGATGAATTGTAAATGAGTTTGAGAAAGTGTGTATTCCAATTCAAACACCATCTACAGCATCAACTTACCGGCACCATTTATCATCGTGGACGTAAAAATCGTAAAAGGAGATTTTCATTGTTGTGCCTTGAGGAATGGAAACCAAATAAATACAGTCCATGTTGTTTGGATAGTCGTTTGGGTATCCAGGACTTTTCAGTGTGTTGTTTATCTCCGAACCACAAACTATAGAAGATAATATAAAACATAACAACAAAGGCAAAAGTCGATTTAATGACAGCATAGTAAATGTAATTACAGTATTTTTGTTTTCTATGTCAAGCTGAAGCAACAGTTGCCCTCCATTAAATATAAATATTTAATCATATTCAAGGGCGATACAGCATCTGAAAGCAGTGAATGAAACACGATCACACGGCTCACTGCACCAGATGGACGAAGTTGATGCACAAGTAGGAAATAATAACGAAGGAAGGGAGAGAAAGCTACTGCAGAACAAATGCAGCATCACTATATTTGAAACTGAGATTAGAGGAAGTGGTGGTGGTGGTGGATAAATCACAGCAACAGAATTTCCCCGAATTCCATCCGTAGGGTTGCCGTGCGATAGACTCCTGCAGGAGATAGGAAAGGACGACCGCCCAAATTGGCAGGTAATATACAGATTTAGCCAAGCGCTAGCCTAAAAGGGGAGCTACTGATTGCAATAACTGACGATAAAGGAAAAAGATAATTATTTTTTCTTGGATCAGAAACTCGCAAAATGATCAATTGTGAGCATGTAATTGTTCAGCGTGTGGTTTTGCTATTTTTTTCCAGTTAAATTTTAACAAATTATACCCAACAAGCCTAACCAACATTGTAACAATTACGTACGCAATATATCAGGGACTTTCCAAGAGACGATTGTGCAAGGAATATGTAAGAAAAAAAGTCAACAACGCGCCAGGGGTTAATTTGCGCCGAAATTTTGCCTTTGCGAGTACTCCTTCCTTCTCCCCCAGAGAATTAATGTGACTTGAGCCCGCGATCCAATCGGTAAACCAGTAACAGGTCAGTGGTCAACTTTAAAAAAAACACGCAACCTCGATGAGCTCTGAACCTGAGTCCGCGACGTAGTCACGTGATACCGGTCAGCGGATAGCTTGTTGCGACAGCTGTCAATTAACAATAGTGTGGACGCCCAAAATCAAAGATGTAGCTATGGTAATGGTGCTACTCTCTTAGTTTTCAAGGAATTGGCGTACATACGTACGGACGGACAGTAACGTGACAACCAAAATTGCTCAGATCGATTGATTACCAAATTTTCTAAGGTATGGGGCTCCGCTCGCGCGCCTTTGGCGCGCAGGAGCTCCGCTGTAAATCTCAAGGATTACTCTAAGCTTACCCACTGCAGCGGCCTAGAGCTTTGAGCATGTATTATTCTTTGGCCTGCTTTAATAACAGTAATTCCTAGAGAAGTCGAGCTGAATGCTGGTACTACTAAATCAAGGTGATGCTGAATGTAATACTAGTAAGTCACTGCTTTTGACAGCCGAACGTTAAACCTTTGGAATAAAATCGTCGAGTTGCACGAGCAAAAACAGGATTTGGTTGGACTAAGCGAACCAAGGCTAAGATCGACATTTTCCACAACTGCTACATTTAGCATCTCTACATGTTCTCATGTTCTAGTTATCGGTAAGTAGACCATCCATAGAGATTATGAGTGAAAACTATTAAACCGAACGTTTGGTACTCATTATTCTGCTCCATGTTTATTATAAGCATAAATCTAAGTAAAGCTAACTAGCGCTACTGACTTTAACCTAATCCCTGATGAAAACTAAAGAGAAATCATATAAGCGTTAAAAAAAACTATATCTACCATTGGGTGGTGGCTGAGTGGCCGTCCTGTTTTTTCCTGTTAAAAAGAACTAAAGGTTAGTATTTAATTTGAAATTAATATAGAAACATGCCATTCCATATGAGGACTGTAGTCGTGTGCGGGCTGGGGTCAACGTTTCGATATAAAGCAGTCTGGCCAATGGGGAGGTTAAAAAAAAGAAGTTAATGGTTAACTTCTCTGCAAGAGATTCCATTCTAAATGTGTCATATTAAGCTGCAAAATGCATATTTTGATAAAGACGGAGTCTAATGTTTGAGCAATGTTAATCAAAACGCGTTACGTTAAATTTCACCTGAATACCACATTTGTCGTGAACAGACCACGGCTCTCAATATTCCCTTTCCTTTACTAAAGGACCCTATTCAGCCTCCGCCATCTTCGATGCCATTGATATTCCATGGAGAAGCGAAATCTTATTGCTTTACTGTAAGTTATGTTCTTGAACGTATGTTTAATGATCTTTACTTCACAGTGATTTCCTTCGTTTGGACATGCTCCGAATAAAATGTAATAGCCAAACTCTCGCATGAAACAAAAAGCAAGGTTTGGTTGACTAGCGCCCTTTGGACGTTCTCCCGTTACATTAGTTCTTCTGCAAAGAATCATGCCCTGTAATTTTATATGGAATTACCGATTGGTACAGCAGTGAAATACAACAGAAATCCTTTTTGTTCATCACTTTCATCTGAGTGGAATATGATCACAACGTAGTCTCCAGTGACAAGAACACTCTGTCCAGTCTTCTGGCCACAGTACACACCATATGCGTGATTTTGATCGTTAATAATCTTCATATAGTCATAACTAAAAGCAAAAGATAAATCCATTTAAGGTGGCTACCTATAGTTTTACGATAGCATGCGCGCTGAGGACGAAAGTTCAAGTAATCTGCGCGCGCTCGAAAGAAAACGTCAGTGTTATTCGATATTTTATGACGTCAACATGAGCACAAAAAGCAAAACTAACAGTGAATTATCTAGCGTTTCCTTGAGTGAAATTTTGTAAAATTTGGCGGACTGGTAGTAAATATTTTATTTTAGTCGGAGCTTGTTTTTCAGGGAAATCTGTAAGACCAATTTTTTGGCAGCGGTAAAAGGCATAAATTTGCAAAAATCGAAAAGCCTGCCTTTGCAAACCCTATTTCTTTCGTGTTTTTCGGATGCTCATAGCTATCAGAGAGCTCAAGCCAACCACCACGGCAACAGCAACGAAAACGCCAACAAACAAGAGGTTTTATGAGTAGAACAACGAGTGTGCACGTGCGTTATAAGTGTTTGTACATCTATCAACCATCCACTGCACAACAACAACAACTTTAAATGACTAAGTTCTGCGTATTTTGGATAACGCGAACAACGGCGGCTAATGGTTCGTATTTTCATTTGGAAGCGATCGCTGGCGTTGCATATTTAGCTTAAGCAAGTTCTGAGACCAACAGGCGAACTGAACAGATCTAGATAATTGCAAAATTTGAGGATAAAATATAAATTCATTTCCTACTTGGCGTTGTCCTCGGAGTCTCAGTCGTCATGGCCTAAGTTTTCTACATCTTTTTTTTTTTTTTCAATTGGGATTATCGCATTATATTATTTTGTATTTCCCTCGTTAGATGTATCCTACTAAGTAATTTAAATAACAGCTATGGGGTTACTTACTCGCAGTCGGGTAGGCTATCCTCAATTATAAAATCCTTAAAGGAAATGTTCATGGCCGTGTCATGTGGAATAGAAACCAGATAAATACAGTCCATGTTGTTATGGTAGTCAGTGACTGGATATCCGGGACTTTTCAATGAGTTGTTCACCACTGCACCACACACTGTCAAAGTAAAATATGCTTTTTAAAAGACTACTATCTTTACGTGTACAACACTGCATATAAATGATACAAAGATCAAAAACAACAAATTCGTGGATCGCAGTATAAGTAAATAAAAATAATTAACCTCATACTTGCAAAATAATGAGGCTAGCACCCAGACATCAATGAGCAGCTTTACGTTCGAAAACATCTTATATGATATAAATTCCAGACATTTCTCGCCTTATAGGAAAATCAAAAATAATAATAATAATAATAATAATAATAATAAAGTATTTATATAGCGCCAATCCACTATTTGTCCATGGCGCTTTACATTAAATTAAAATATATATATATATATATATATATATATATATATATATATATATATATATAATATCTTAAAATTGAACCACGGAAAAAGATGTAAAGACATGAATGATCATGTCAGTTATGTACACTCCTGAGCAGTTGTGAAAATGGCGCCTGAAATCACACACAGATCAAAGTTTCTTATCCCGTTAAAGGCTGAATTCTTTTCAGGTTTTTACAACTGCTTAAGTTGTGTTTCATAACTGCGATGATAATTCATGTTATTTTCAAATGTACAGTAACTATCTGCTACTTGCCAGAGTGTTCACGGGCATCCTGGCCCTGCCTTCTGCTGCCATGATAACAATTGCAGCGAATTGCGTAACCTGGCTTTCATGTGTAATCTGCGCCCGAGCGATGGCCTGTAATGTGGAGTCCTTGGCCTAAGGCGATAAACATTGCAATAAAGTAATACCTGAGCCCCATATTTTATTTGTTAAAGACGATTTAACACTACTGATCTTGAATATAGTATAGTACTCACCTAGATCGGTTAAAAATTGTGGAAATGACTGTTTCAAAGATGTTGTTTTATACATAACAATAATAATCTAAAATATAAACAGGTGTTGTAAATGGTTCCTCGTATGAATAGGTAGTAACTATACTGACAGATCCCAAAAGACTGGTGTCTTTTGTCTCACGTCCTAGGAACATTTAAAAAAAAATTTCACCCTATTCAAAACAGGAGTGGGAGGCAAAAGGTGCACGCAAGTGCACACAAGTGCAACAGTACAATCGTCCTTACTATAGAATGGAATTGCTGATGGTGGACAAGTTCTAGACGTAAACATTTCGGTATTTTGGGAATACAAATAAACCAGCTCCTACCTTGTCGTCAACATCTGCACTCAACACGGCAATTGCATGAGAAGCCGCCTCACTAACTTTTCCTTCATTCAAATAGTTTGTAATGTCACTACTTAAAGTTGCAGGATGTAGTGAGGGATCATTCTGTGGCAATGGCTTCACCTAAAAGTTGTAAAGACACCTTCAATGGCTGCCACGTTATATGATGAATCCTTCAAGTGACCTTTACATGTCATCTTCACAAGACCTTTGTTTTAAAAGTCGTTACCTCAGTTTAATCCCAATAGATGTTTCCAGATCAGGGTTGAATTTACTTGAAGGTTTTTCCTTGTTTCTATACTCACTTTTCCACAAAAAGTTTCCATAATGACAATTTGAACTTTGAAACTCTTTTAGATCTTTGGAAATGTAGATTTCTACCTCATCTTGACTTTATACTGATAAAATTAAAAGACTACTTTCCCTGTAGTTCAGCTCTATGGAGCACCCACTAATTCGATATCTTGTCTGGAGCGATTTATTGCGAAACAAAGTCTTTCAAGAAATTTTATTCTAAAAGAAAACTTACCTTTACAGTTAAAATGTCCACCTGGCTTGCTCCTTTTTGGTCAAAAATGTTCACTCTTATAGTTATATTATAATCTTCTGACTTATTTCCTTGAGGAAGAGTTGCTGATATGTATGGACTGTGCCTACCACTGGCGCTTACCATACCAGTTGAAGTAGTGTAACTATGAAGAAGAAAAAGAAGATGATGAAGAACAAGAAGAAGAAGAAGAAGAACAACAACAACAACAACAACAACAACAGCAACAAAAACAGCAATAACAAAAAACAACTATACAATCACAGCAAGAACAATAATTTTTTAATAATTTGAACTCTACATTGAGCGGTCCGGGCTGGAGACCTGGCTGGGGTTATTTTGAGATGTTCTTGGGTAGGACATTAATTATAAACTCTTACAGTTCGTCTATCCAGCCGAGTGTCTAACTGCATGAGCACCGATGAATTCAATGCTGACATCTGACATCTTATCCAGGGTGGAGTAGAAATATTTCTAGTCGCTTAATGCTTCAACTGGGATAATTATTACAAGGATGGAATCGACACATTAACCCGGCGATGACTTTTATCCTTACCTGAAACTATATGTCAAGTATTTGTTCTCATTGTGCCATCCAGAACAGTCCACCGAAAAATTGGTTTTCAAAACAAACCCTTCCTTTGGTTTCACACTGCATCTTTTCTTGGGAACAGAGAGAGGTTTTACAGTTCGAAAGGGTAAGTCGTCTTCTAAAACAATTCCTCCTTCTATTATTATGGATGCCTTTATCTTGTATGTGGTATTCATCTCAAGGGAATACTTATTATCACCCAGCTTGCCGGTAAGGACTATATTTGGGTTGTCTAGGTCGGTGAGTATTCGCTCAGCTAAGTCCGAGATTTGCACCCAAGAGCTAGACAGCCTGGAGTTCTCTCTCTTAAACAGAGACCATTCGTGGCGAGCGATCGTTCCGCAAATATCTCCAGTACAGTTGGATTCTATGATCATTTGCTTCTTGGGAATGACTTCAGGGCCACAATTGTAAATGCAACTGCAAATTTTTGTTAAAATGTTAGTGGTTATCAAAATTTACCATGGTACTGGAAATCCAGTGTAGATATTACATAGAAAAATTACGGAATTATGCGGTAAACAATTGATCAAAGATTCTAATCTTTTGAAGATGTTCGGCATAACATGCACGCTTTTTAATACAAGAACAAGATTACTTTTTAACAAGTGCAAACGACCACGGTTCTTGGGTAGAGGCAGGGCAAGCGGCGGCTGATCATGACAGTGTCTTGGAGAAGTAAAATTTCTGCCTTCTCCACTCCATACGAAGAAATGGAACTGATGATAACAAACAACGACATAGAGAATATATATATCTGGATATGGAGTAACTAGACATGACGATGATTACCTGATAAAGAATGATGCCACCACTAACCGATGGGTGGCCCTGGAGCTTTCGACACCGTTTGAAACAACAAGCTCAAACACATACGTTTTTCCTCCCTCCATTTTGTCTACATCCACATTTATTACATTTTCACGACCACTGAGTCTTCCTGGACCGAAACCATAGCAACCACCTGACAGGTTTGCGTTACCATTTGGAGCATCAACCGGAAGCGAATCGTTTTCCAGGAATGTTTCGTAACTTCGTCTGCAAAACCAGGTGAAGGTTAGAGGACGTCCTTGTTTGGGATGTGGGTCATAGGATCGAGAGCCATTCAACGTAATATTCCCTTGTCCTATAGTTGCAAAAGACGGGCCTGAAATATTAGCGACAGGGGAACTCTGAAGAAGTAAGATGAAACCAAAGTCATATCCAATAATTTTCAACTGTGGCGAGGTTCTTAAAACGTAACTGACGTAATAGTAGCTGTCGAGACTTGTTCTTCTCCGCATCGACCAAACAGGTTTATCATTTTTAATTCCACCAGGAAGAAAGGAGTAGAAATTTCTACCCTTTAAGTTTGCTTTGGTGATATGCCAATATGAAAAGGTCTTCACTGACGAACTGCATCGTGAATGTTGTACTTTTGCTTTAAAGACCATCTTATCCGTTGTATAGTACACCCTGGCCTGGTCCAGAGTCTTGCTCAAGTTGAGGTTCACAGCTGCAGGAGGACATCTGCAGTCATCTGAAATTAATATCAGATGACAGGTTGGCTTTATATGTAGAAAGCTTACCATGGATGACAACTCATTTGCAAGGTTTTATACAATCTAGATAACGTTCGATTACAAAAAGAAGCGAAAGTAAACTTCGGCGGTTCGAAATCATTTGGACTCCATTATCAAGTAGAGAAAATAACGGTCGAGATGTTAATTCTATACTGTGAAAGGTGAAAGAATATCTTAAAGTGTAACACCGCCTAATTAGAAGTTCTTAGGTGTCAACAGTTAAACGTGCCGAATAAACTTAGATGAATACTTTCGTGCAAAGTATATTGAGTCCGTCTGTGTATTGAGTTTGGGTTTTCTTTCACAAATGAAACACATTTCGTGAGCTAAACAGTCCAATTTTCCTTGGGGCTATTTCAACAAGGAAAACCTGTTAGACATGTTTAGAACATGTTGACGATGAAGATGACGTCAGTGCTTTCCCATTGGCTGGCAGCCAAAAGTCTTTGTTCTTTCTCTATATAAGCGCGGTACCACCCAGACAGTTGAGCGGTCGGTGTAATAAAAATCTTAATACCCCTCGTATACCCACGTGGCCTGCATCTCATTAAACCAGTTCTGGATTCAAAGGTCATTGATTCAGTGGTTATCACTTCAAGTAAAACCAAGTGGTCTACCCATCTGTCAAATAGTACACACGTTAGTACAAGAGGCCTATGACTGACATATACGTAAGCTACAACAAGGACAAAATGAAATCTTATCACCTGTATCCAGCTCCTCCAAATAATTGCTGTGGAAGATTGACATTGACTTTATTCCTGTCTTTATTCTTGCCATCAGTTGACCTTTCACCGACGCACTGATGCAGAACAGCTTTATCTCTGCCATTGGTAAGGCTTTGTCCGAAGATATATCAATACTTTGTGCGCTTGAATTTAAAAAAAATAGAGGTTATATTCACCAATGGAAACTCTTAATGACTGAGAGACAACGTGCAAGAAACGTTAAAGTGTTTATAGGGTACCAACAACAACAACAACAACAACAACAATCTCTATTTGAGCTCTTTCGGATTTAAAGAGAAAATTAATTTATTTCATATACACATGTAGAGAAGGCACAGCCACTTAGATATATTAAAACCTAGTCGTGCTAAGTAGTCATGAGGATAACACTAAAACAAAAAGAAGAAAAATGGGGAAGAAATAGGCACACAATCAGAAAAAGAAAAAAAGAAAAAACTGGGTGAGAGTTGAGCACTGAATAACTAAAATTTCGTTACCAATAGTTGGAAATTTTAGATTCTTTTAGGAGATTTTTTAAGGAAGTGCGACTCTTGGGTCTCAGATTTTCCTCTCAAAGTTTAGCACCGTTAAAACGAATATTAAATTTACCGTAGCCGGTCCCAGCGTTTGGTAATTATAACATGACTTCCTACGAGCTAGTCTGGTTTCAGACTGATGAATTTTATTGATGCTCTTGATAAGAGGTACTAAAACTAATTAGGAGTCTATTAGAATAGAGAGGTTTTCAGTTGACGGTCGTAAAACCAAAACCAAAGCAATTAGAGCGGTTTTCAATTGAATGTCGAAAGTAATTAGGCAATTACTTTGGTTTTGGTTTTGGTTTTACTGCGGTTTTACTGAGTAGTCTAATTGGTTTGGTTTTGGTTTTACGACACTCAACTCAAAACCGCTCTACTTACCAATCACACTACTCAGCCAATCCCAAACCGTAGTAGAACCAAAACCAAAACCAAAGTAATTGCCTGATTGCATTCGACACTCAGTTGAAAGCTGCTCTATTAGTCATACATAAATAAAATAGTATCCAAACATTTTGTAACATTTTAACACTTTTTCAATCTATTCATCTGTTTATTGGACAGACATAGCTTCGTTGATAGACCAACCGCTGCACAAAAGGTTTCTCTTAAAAAATGTTAAAGATAAAAATGTCCTACCCGAATCGCTGAAACTCAGCCAAGAAAAATCCATGAAAGCCGTCAACAATGCTGTTAAACTGCAAAAAGCGTTACAGTTTTCACACGTTTATTTCAAAAATATACAAATATACAAATTAAGGCATTCTTGCAATTGAAAACTGAACTAAAGTTACTACGCTTCGTCATTAAGGGCTTAGTCTTTTCTATGTGCTATGCTGTGACCTTCACGACATTAAAGATAAGATGAATACTACTAGGAACTCGGTGTGCAGAATCAATATAGAGCCACTCTGAGATCGATGGGCCACCTGTCAATTCTGTTCATTTACCAACAATTCATGAAATGATTCTTCCACTGAACTGTCATTAGAATAGGGTGAAAAAACAATTTATGTCCTTTGCTGATTGCTTTTGATATTGACTTTTACGAAACAGATCTTGACTCATTTGTGTTTAATTATTATGGGATTACGTCAATTGTGCCTTCAAAATTTCTAAACGTTTCAGCATTTTTAGACACAAATATTCTTAAGCCACATCTATGCATGATGTTCACCGAGTTTGTGTTCTCGCTACAACTGCCGTAGCTCGTTTCTGAATTTCCTAGATTACATACAGTCATTTATTCCTACACTCCTTTCTTCCTTCCTTCCTATAATCCTTCCATCGTTCCTTCCTTCCATCCTTCCTTCCTTTCTTCCATCCTTCCAACCTTCCAACCTCCCAACCACCCAACCCCCCAACCTCCCAACCTTCCAACCTCCCATCCTCCCAACCTCGCAACCTCCTATCCTCCCAACCTCCTATCCTTTCATCCTTCAATCCTTCAATCCTTCAATCCTTCCATCCTTCCATCCTTCAATCCTTCCATCCTTCCATCCTTCCATCCTTCCATCCTTCCTTCCTTCCATCCCCCCATCCGTCCATCCTTCCTTCCTTCCATCCC